AGAATCTAACATACCCAGCAGTCTCCATGGGCCACTGTACACGTGTGACAGAGTCAAGAAAGCAATTGGCAAAAATGTGAAGTCCTATATGCAAAGTGCCTAAGACATACCAACGTGGGCGCTTATACTCACGTATGCAGGCCTGCCTATCATTGTAGAGGGCAACAGAACAGCAGTTGTCTGGCTCACTACTGCTACCCACCCAGACACCGGGGCACAAGCAAGTGCTTGAGAACATGATCTCACAGTACGGCTGTCAATCCCTAACACTGGACGAGGAACACACCTTCCATCACTGGCGGAAAAACTGAAATTTAGTTTGTGGCACAGCTACGGTAAGAAAGGGGCAACGGTGTGCTCATGGAGCCCCACTAAGTGGAATCATGTCATCCTGACACGAACAGGAGATCAACAGGACACAGCTGATTGTCAATAATGGTTACCTCTGGATTGAGTACTCAGTCAGTTCTGTCTGAGTTACTCCTCTAAAGATGTTATAGAAGAGGCGACCTTGTCACCAGGATGGGGTGTCAGGAAGTTCTGTACATGGCAGCAGATAAATTCTATCCATTTAAAACAACATCTTCCAGAAGATGACAAGCAATTTAATTCTTCTACAAAGTTACAAACAACAAAGTATCTGCTTTTAAGAAGGGAAGGATTTTTTTTTAGCATGCCATCGGCCTGACAGGCGGGCACAGTGTGGAAGGCATGGAGAACAAGGTACTTTTGCTACTGCCCTGGTTTTTACTGACAGAAGAGTCAGACATGTTGACAAATTATTAAAAATAAGGAAGCAATGAAAGAATCACACTATGAGCCAGAGACCAAGATTAGTCCAGGCTGTGCATTCAGAGATCCAACAAGAACAGGATACTGAATGACTCAAAGACCTTCCTACCAGAGGCTAACCGTCACAGTTGTTAAGATCATTATTTTACTTGTAAAAGCAAAAACTAGAGCCTGAAATTTCCAAGGCTTTAAACACATAATCATGAAAGACTGGTATCAGGGAAAGCAGAGCAATAGCTTACCATCATTCTTAGCCACGGGAGGAATTTGCTTGCATGAGAAGAATATCTGTGTCCACAGAGCGAGCCGAGGCATGAAGAAAAATAAGCAACCCCAAGCAATTTATCAGTTACGGCCAAAGTTAGATGGTTTAAGTCCTTGCACATCATGTGTATCTTGGTCTTAACAATTGAGAAAACAAGGATATATGTATGTATGTGTGTGTGTATATGTGTATATGTATGCATGTGTGTGTATAGATACTATCTGGTCCCAGCTAACCCAAACACTGCAGGTTCCTTATGGCCAAAGATGGAAAATACACACAGTGGGTTAAGCCATAAAACTTGTGACTAGCCAGTAGTTACAGAAATGTAGATTAAGACGAGGCACTTTTAAGGTCTAAGGATGTAACTGGGTGGTGGGGTACTTGCCTCGTGTTTTTAAAACAAAATAACAAAAACAACAAAGGAACAGTACAGACTTTATGATATTGGATCTGGCAATGATTTCTTAGATATGACACCAAAAGTGCAGACAACAAAAACAAACACACATTAACAACGCCACAGCTTAAAACTTGGGCCGAGAAGATGGCTCAGTGGGTACGAGCGCTCGTTGGCAAACCTGATGGACAATTCAGCCCCTCAGATCTGCAGGGTGGAAAGACTGACCCCCACAACCTGTCCTCTGTGGAATCATGCACAAACATACACACACAAAAAAACAGTTCATGTAACTATTTAAAAAAAAAAATCTAGCTCAGTAAGCACCTTTATAGAGTGGGAGAAAAATATCAACCAAGTCATATCTGATCACAGAGTTAGTACCCAGAGTACAGCCAACTCTTTCAAGTCAACAATGGTAACAAACCCATAACCTTTGAAACATTAAGAGGACTCAAATGGGCATTTCCCTAAGAAGTCTACATGTTCAATAACATACAGGAGAGGCCAGTGAATGTCACCCTACATCCATCAGGATGGCTATGCTGTATCCTAAATAACTGAAGATGTGGTCTCAGAAAGATATACCTGCATCCATCATCCATCCATCCCACAGCAGGGAAGTCACAAGAGCACCAGGCCCTCAGCCAGGGACAGTATGACCATGTTCATCAGCACACAGATGCTGAAAAAGGTACAAAACACCAATTACTTAGCTTGTATGAAAGCAAAGAAAATCACACAACCAAGATGCAAAATCACCAGTCAACAAGATCAGAGCTGGATTACAGTGGATAAAGTTGCCGGCGGCACAGGCCTAATGATTGAGGTTAAGCCTGGGATCTACAGAGTGGGAGGCGAGAACCAACTCCTGAGATTGTTCTCTGACCTCCATACTCATGCCTAACACTGAAAACAACTAATGTGCTAAGGACACTATGTGAGCAAATGGTATACATACACAGGAAGTCTGAATCATAAAATTGTCCATGTGCACTGAGCTGGTGGTCAGTTCCATCCCTGCACCCAGCTCACTGCCACGTGTCCATGTGTAAATGGGATTGTTTAAACAGACAGTCGTGCAGTAGAGCACTTGGTACCACCAAATGGATGCTTCACATGTCAGGACACAGTTCTCACTATGCATCATGGAAAACCAACTGTAAACAGAACCAAAGCATAATCCCACTGTCTGGATGAAGTGTACATAGAGCTGATGCCCAGGGAGAGAAAAATCTGAGACGTATGCCAGTAACGCTTGTTAAGGGAAGACAATACTTTCCTCCATTTGCTTTTCTGCAAAACTTAGTTAAACCTTTTTGATGCTCAGTAAGAAACTCAGTAAGAAATTACTGAGAAAAGGTGTGGGAAGGACAGGCAGGTGGCAGTTGCACTCACAGCCTAAAGCAGGTGCGTGGAGAGCATCCTGTCCCAGGGACTCAGGATCCCACTCGGATGTCTTATTTTGGTTTTGTTCTCTTGACAATCGCATTTGCACCCACATTTTGGGAGGGAAATACAAATGTTAAACCTGTCAGAAGCACCCCCATTACTTGCTTCGGCAACAGCATCTACGAGATGGACACGGCCCTGGTTAACGCTTCTGCAGCCCCTCGGCAAAGAAGACATGAGCTCGCATTAAAGGTCCTTCTGGTGGCTTAACCTTCTAAGACAAACTCAATGGCACGTGTCAGGATTGGAAATGTCAGATCCCTTTTTATAACAGGGCAAATCTGAATTTGCCAGTGTTTACAAGCTGGGAGGAGTCAACCTATGACTGCTGTCAGGACACATTTAAAGAACGTAGCTTTTCCCTGCTCCACTGCTTTTCAGTCCTACAGGATCAACGTCAGCACCACTGAATCCCAGCTGCTGCTGAGAGTTCAAAGAATGAACACAAGGTAGGGTCTCTGGCTGAGGAACGGTGATACTATGCCATCCAATGACCCCAGGGCGAAGAGCAGTCCTTGCAGGACGTGTGGCTCATATCTGTATTCCCAACACGTTCGAGGCTGAGGATTACTACAAGCTCCATACCAACCTGGGCTACAGAGTAAGAATGTCTCAAAACAAGTAAATAAACGCAAGCCAGTAGTCTTACAAGTCTCCACACAGGAGAGCTCAGCCTTCGGCTTCTCAGTGAGCCATTTCTATCATAGCTAGGGATATATTCCTTACCAGCCTGCTGACACAACATGGAGAACATGGAGTATAAAAACCAAAGGGTCCCGATGAGAGGAAAAATGGAGACACAGAAACCAGGTAAGAAGCCAGAAAGAGGCTGGGATAAACCAGAGACAAAGGCAGGTAGACAGGCGGTGCATACCTCTAATCCAAAACAGAAACATTTGTGAGGCAGTTACTAGTGGATCTTTGAATTCCAGGCCAGTCTGAGCTACATAGTGGGACCTTTTCTCAAATACCAAAATATATAAAAAGAATAGTGTGGGTGGAAGGAAGCCCCCTCATCTGCTGCAGTAGCACTTAACCCTTGGAGTCCCAGAAGCCTAGACAGAAAGCTGCCGGGACATCCCACTCTGTACAAGTGAGAGGTCACCACCGATAGACCGACCAGGAAAAAAGAACAATACACACTTAGCTGAGACAGCAGGGAAGAGTAAGACGCCTCACCCTGCTTGACCAATCTACTCCAGTTCAAGACTCATCTTTGCCAAGACAACAGTTCCATACAGAGCCACAGGCTAGCCTCTGCTTTTAGCAAGTAGGCTCCAGTCCTAGCAGAGACTGGTAGAGTTCTAAGCTCAAAATCTGTCAAAGCAGCATTTCCCAGCTTTAATGACACACCAAATTCAGGGCAGGTTGGCTCCCATGATAATCAGCTACATACCCAGGACTGTGTTTACAGGCACGGCCCACTCCCTGGATTCCAAGGGCTTCTGACCACACCCTTCCCATGGTTAACAAAAAACCTTTAGTCATCTTATACCAAAGGACAAAAGAAGCCCAAGCCAGCTCCTTAGGCAGACAGAACTCTATATTCAGACTGAAATCTCAAGCCCACCCAACTTCCGAGAGTGAAAATATGAGAAGCTCTAGCCGGGCAGTGGTGGCGCACACCTTTAATCCCAGCACGTGGGAGGCAGAGGCAGGCGGATTCCTGAGTTCGAGGCCAGCCTGGTCTACAGAGTGAGTTCCAGGACAGCCAGGGCTGCAGATAAATCCTGTCTCGAACAACCAAAAAAAAAAGAAAAAGAAAAAGAAAGCTCATACCACATTGAGACATTTCCCCCAAACTAAAAAAAATCACTGTTTGGAATACAACCTGGGAATGTTCTAGATTATGTTCAGAATACTCCCTTACCAGCAGCACCATTATCCCATAGGACTGTCTTGTCTACAGCCATTGCCAGCTCCCAGTGAACAGCCCTTCCCTCCCCGATAGATGACAGGCTGCTCAGACCAATTCTGCCTGGATGGTTACCTGCTCTAACTGTATCAATGGCGGCACTGGTGCAGTGCGTCTAGGCTAACTCTAGGAAGGCAAAGTGACAGAGGTCGAGAATGTAACAGCCAGGACAATTCTAAGGAGCTTCAATCTCAAACCTTTATTTTGCTGGAAAGGAGAGAAAACTTATTAGTACACTTTAACACTTTAGTACAGAGAGGCAGGTACGGCGGGCCTATTACAGCTTCCTCCACAATTCCCCATTCCAACCTGACCAGCACACTGCTGTTCCAGACAGTGATCATGCCCTGGTCACACCCCTTTTAAGCACACACATAAAACACATATACAGGGTTTTCACAAATACACAAACAGTATTTTCAGAGGCAATTTTTACAGAGTGTTATCTAGTAAGATGATCCCCCATGCCCAGTTTCACTTTTATTTCCCAAACTGCTTTGACTGAGAGTTAATAGTTCCCCCTCTGCTTGGGGATTTAAGGCACCACTCAAGCCAAACCCACAATGTATGTATTCAGTGAAGCCTTGGCAAAGTACACGGATAAGGTTTTCTACCAAACATCATAATGATCTCATAGCAAGTGCAAGACCGTGTCCCTTGTCACAGTGACTGACTGATTTGAAAGATTAAATAAGCAAACCCTGTTGTCTTCTGGCCAATTCCAGAAATTAAAGATGTGTTTTGAAGGCATGGCTCACACATTAAATCCCTGTATCATGTAAGTCGTCATTCACACATTTAACTCCTGTAGACAACGCATTAGAGTTCTTAATCACACAGTATGATAAGAGTTTGAACTAGAAACCCAGAAGTCTGTCCATCTCCAGTACAAACATCAATGCCTTTTATGAGCCCACAACGTGGGCATTTACAAGCCCTTCCCAGTCTTCTTGGAAACAAGCTTCCCAGCGCCAGGCTCGCCTCGCCCACAGGCTGGCCTGTGTTGGGACATTAACACCATCTACTGAGCGACCAAGAAAAGCTTTTCAATTTCACCCTTTCCCATTGAACAGTGTAGCAAAACAATTTTGCTTTTCCCCTTGTAGGAAGGATTTTGGTATTTTCCAAGCAACGGTCTCTGCCTCTCGACAATTCAATTCAGTCCCCCGAATTAAGGATTTACCATCGGCCTTTAGATTTTCATAGGAGCTATTATTTAGTTCCCAAACTGTTATTCCCATCAACCCACAATTCCAAGCACACCCCTCATCAGCACTCCTTCAACCCACCAGTGCCAAGCTGAGCCCTCCTCTCTCCCACAAGTCCCACATCTGGTGCCAAAAGTATTCCCAACCTTGATCCAGTACAGTAACTCAAGCTTCACCTTGGAAGGCCATGTTTTAGAAGACACTTGTCATCCTAGCAGGGGCGAGAACCTAGGCCAGCCTGGTATACACAGCCAGGCACCTAGTCATGAAAGCCAATGAACAAAGGAACCAGAACCACTGTCACTCAGTGGGGTAGCACTTGCCTACCACCCAGTACCAAATCCAAACCCATGGAGAGAAACTCCCAGAGACCGCTGCAGGCCCACTGTTCCCTTCTTAGTACAGATCCCACCCCAAAGCCCAAATCAGATATGTCATCTACAAACTCAATTTGTGGCTAACTTGCGCCTTCCCACACTTTTAAAACACAACATCCCACCCATTTAACCGGTTCCATCTAAGACCCTTCCACACCAGTCATTTAAAACCCAACAGCTTTCCCCAACACCCAAAGTTTTCAGTTAAGAAGTCCTCTGGCCAATGCAGAGGCAGGCAGGCTGCAGAATCAGGGAAGGTGGGTGAAGGCACGAGGTCACTGGGCTCCCGATCTACAAGGCATCAAGCTGCGCTGAAGTTAAAGTGTCCTACACCTTAACGAAATCTTCGAGGCCAAGTTCGTAGCACAGAACTAGAAAGGCTGGAGGCTTGTTTAGAAGATGCAGCAGCTGAACGCCTCTACCCCCAGGAAGGAGATGCCTGCTGGCATTCATGCATCCGTAAAGAAGATGCTCCCCGAACAAGATACTCATCTTGAACATTCACAGGCGGTGGCCTCTCCAATTGGAAGCACCTGCCCACCCCTCTACAAGCTGACTTAAACGATGGCCTCCTGAACACAGGGCTTCCCGAGAAAGGCCTGGACACAGGGGCAGTGCAGAACCTCCTAAGCCTCTGGAATTCACTGTGTAGGCATCAACTTAGGCCGTTGTCTCCTCCAGGGTATGCCCTCCTGTACTGCTGCTACGACTCACACTGGCCCGGGCTCCTGGTGCCATCTGCTTGCCATGGTGAACACTACAGTAATAAACCATGTCCATGAAGCATTTGGGTGACTGGGACCACGGCTATGAGCCCACTCATGGGTCCACATTCAACACCAACCCTCCCGCCCAGTCAGGGAGTCCTCCGCCTTTACCAGTGATACCAGAATGCTGAGGCCAAGACTCCAACACCGATTCTACATCTTCCCCAGGCTTACCAGATGACCAAGAGGCAAGGTTTTAAATGAAACCTTAACCTCAGAGTGAGGGGGGAAGAGTAGGGAAGAGACCACAGAAGAGGAAGCACGAGACCTAGGCAAAGTCCAGAGAGGGCACTGCCATCTGAAAAATAAAGTTGTGATCAATGCTAACTCAAGACGCGCGCCTTCAATCTCCGTGGTCCCCGCCTGGCAGACCTGTCAGTAAAAACAACTTGTCTCTGCAGCTACTCCTCAGGCCTCCCCTCACACCCAGAAGTGGGTGCAGACAGGCCACACCCAAATTACATACCACCCTGAGCCAGAGCTGTCCGCCCAGCGAAGCTAAGTCCACTTTCCATAAGACCAGGCCTCATCCCGGGTGGGTTCACAACCCCTTATCTGGAAAAAAATGGGTCTGCTGGTATTGTCAAGTTCAAAGTCCGACCTCCACTGCACCTAGACCTGCCCCCGCTGCCTATCTATGATTTCCAGGGCCTCAAGGGCCCGAGTCCACCTATCTCCAACTGCTGCTCTGCCACTCAAGCTAGGACACTGGCCCCATGTAGGCTTGTGAAACTTGTGTCCTCCTGGACATCAAGTGCCCCCATGCCAGCAGACCGCAGGGAGAGCCTGGTCTTGAAGGCTGCTGGCCCTGAGTGGATTGTTAAAGGCAGTTTGGAAGCTGCCTTCCACATGATCACTGTCCCCAAACTTAGTCTCCTTTATAGTTAGCCCCGCTTCTCCTCGCACCCCCATCCTAGTGGCTGCCTCTAACTCTGCCATCTCTCATCTAAGCCCTGAACTGGCCACTGCCTCCCCACCACTAGCCCCAAGCGCGAGCCCTCCTTGTCAGTAACTCCTGCAGGTGGAGGGCACAACTTTTGCTTTTATAGTCTTGTGTCGCGTCACCCGGACATTGCTAAACGGAACGATTCCTCCACGCACTTAAAAAAAAGTTCCTCCCCGACCTAGCCAAAGGACGAGGGGCGGGTCATGGCCTCCATCGACGGCCACTCCCTCAGATTGCTCAATGATCCTTTTCTGTTCCTTGGCAATGAGTCACGCATATGGGATGGACATATCTTTAGATGATATTTGGGAGGTGAATAGCACCAGGGATAAGTCCCCTTTGTGCTGGGGTGGGCAGGCCTAACTGCTTCCAGAAGTGTAGGGTCGGCTGTTAGAGGAAGAGGGCCACACAGACTGGCAGGGCGGAAGGAAAAGTACACGGGTCGCCTCAGGTCACCACGCCCCATGAGGCCCGAAAGTAGGGCCGGTAGAGCGCCTGGAAAATTCCACCCGGTGGCGGAGGGATCTCTGCGGTGGCGCGTCTGGCTGTGGGGGCGGGGTGGGGCCGGGCGCGTGACTTCTCGGGCGTTGCTGCCGCCTGCTCGGCAGGTGACGTCAGTGCGGGCAGCCGCAGGGTGGGGGTGGGGAAGAACTAGCCCAGCAGCTTGGGTGGAATGCTTAATTGCGTCTGAGGTTAATAAATGCCAGAAAGATAGTTGCAAGCTATGGTAACGCAAGACTTTTGTATGGCACCCATGCATATAGAATGAGTGTGTGTATGTAATGTTTATGATTGGAGAGCGCCCAGCACAGATAAGTGATTTTTAAAATCATTTTGCTTTTGGGTGTGGTATGGTGAGAAAAATGATATTTTTAAGCTGCATTTCTCTGCGACAGTGTATGGTGGAGTCCAAGGAGTGGGTTTACTGACCACTAGGGGAGCCAAGCTGGCTGTCTACTTGGGGTGAGGACCAGCCCAGGTCCAAAAGCAGACCTTGTTCAAAAACAAGGGTTTAGTGAGGGTTTTGAAAAGAGAAACTGTCACGCATCGCCCATGCCAGTAAGGAGCCTGAACAGCCTGAGGCATGCCCCTGCCCCCACCCCCACCCCCACCCTCCAAAAAGCATCTCAGCTCTTCTGCCACCTGTCTCCACAACTCCCCCCCCCCCAAAAAAAAAAAGCTGGAAGGACAGTTCAAGTAAGCAGAATGAAAAAGGCAGCTGGCAGAATACCTACCCGGAAGTCCCCTCCCTGGCTCAACACCCACACTGCAAACAAAACCACCCTGTGACAACAGGCTCCCTTAGCAACCCAGAGGAAGAAAGGAGGGGGTTGTTCCCATGCCTCTCGCATATGGAATCTGCAGGCGAGGCCTTACCTACACAGCACCCTCCCCTGTTCCCAGAAAACTGGTGACTCTCATCTGACCAGCAGTACAGAGGGTGCTTATGTGGCAAGTCCTGGCTTGCTCACTGCCTCTTATGCCACGTAGACTCCTGCCCCTCACCCTTCTCCAAGGGCTGGCCTAGCAGCCTTTTATTTATCTTCCTTTTTTAAATTCCAGACAGGGTCTCATTTTGTCCCATACTGGCCTGTACATCTCAGCAATCCTCCTGCCTCAACCTTCCTAGCTGGGATTACATTTACCACCATGCCCGCTGTTGTCCCCTCTGCCTTATCCTGGCATCGGTTCCTGGCGTGGGTGGTGGGTGGCGGTGACTGCCAGGCAAAAACAGGGAGTTGCTTGTCAAAATGTTCTAGAAAGCCAGGAGGCGGCTACGAAACAGCCGGAGGGAGAGGCTTCCCTAGACTGTGGAGTCAGTCTTGCCTTTGAGGTGCTTGGGCGATTGTTAAAACACCTTCTGAGCCAATGCTGTTTCCTTTACCCCAGTCTCAAAATTTCCCTAACAAATTACTCCTCCATCCCAGGAACAGCTTTTGAGACTTTTTTTTTAATTAGTAGGAATAGGGCTAATTGGTAGCACACAAAGCCTAGGGTTATGCAAAGCAGGGCTGCCTGGTCACACGCGAATGAAGCGTTTGTGCGGTCACAAGTCTGCAGTGGCCCAGTGACTGTCCCCAGTTCTCAAGAGCAATATGGCAGTGTCAGAGGTTCCTGGTCTTCAAGGACACAAGTTTTCTGTGGAAACAGAGTGTATTTGAGGGGAGAGCTGAGGAGGCCTTGGGGGCCAGGGCTGTGCCCACCCTTTGTTGGTGGACATACACAGAGTTCTCTTCCTCCACAGACGACCTCCATTTGGCTGAAGGACGAGGGCAGAGCAGCAACTGCTGCAGCAACTTCCGCAATCAAAACAAGCTGGTCCAGGAGACGGCTGTAAACAGGGCTGTGGGTGGGGCTAAGAGGCGACACCCGCAGAGACTGCCTGGTTTCTGTGGCATGCCCCTTCCCAGCCTCTGGGACATGAAGGACTGTGGGACAGAGGGGAAAGAGCAAAATGGGGTTCTCTTTGTGATATCTGATTCCAGGTGGGGGCCGTCTCTCCAAGCTCTTTCTCAAGGATATGGCAGTCCCAACCCCTCACTGGTCTCATCATCTGCTTTGGAAGTCAGCTCAGGCCTGTTGTTTCCAAACACAGGCAGACTCAAGGTTTCCTACAGAAACTCCTGGAATGTGAAGAGGGACGGTGCTCCAGGTGTGCCCTAGAGGCAGTGCCGCGTCAGTTTTGCTACCACCAGAGAATATTCCGGAACTGCAGCTCCCACCCTCTATGGATCCAGTTCCTAGGCTGTAGGGTTTTTAGGTTCCCTTGGGCTTCTGGAGCCAGTGGCGCCCTCAGCCTGGGCTCGCTCACACTGAGCCTTGAGGCATATGGGTCAGCAAACTGCACAGTCACTGTGCACTGGCAGGAAGCCTTCCCATGATTCACTGCCCTTGCAGAGGCCAGAGCAGAAAAAGCCCTGCCCCCAAACTTGCCAGGCTCTTCCAGTGGGAGGGGGCACTTCCCCCACAGGTTCACTAATCTGGAAGCGTAACTTTTTATGAAAACATCTCACCCAGTGTCTCCCTGTCTCCCTATAGCCCTCAGCTCCTGTAGGCCAGGGCTGCGAAGTCACCTCTCAAGTGAGCCTCTTGGCTCTAGCAGTTTGTCCTGTCCCTCCCCCAGCTTGATCTATGGGGGCAGGGTTTCTCTCTAGTGTGTCCTAGATCTCTGCAGCTCTGGCAAGAGGTAGTCCTGGTGTGGATGACTTCACAGTTTATATTTTCTAAAGGTCACCGAGAATCCTGTGAGGCTCCTGGTAAATATTTGTGGACTGACTCAAGGACCTGAGCTCAGCTGCAGCACGTGATGTGAGCTCAAGGACTGGGTGACTGGGGGAGGGGTGCTCTGGGGACCAAGTGTAAGCAGAAGGGATTTGAGGGAGAGGTCGCCCGGAGGTGGAGGCTGTGTTCTGTTGTCCAGGTTTGCAAGGCCGAGGAGACTGGCTTTCTTTGCTCTTATTTTCTTGCGCCCCTCCCGTTCCAAAAGCAGGAAGGAGGGGGTGTCCTCCGACAGTGGGAGGGTGCTCAGGTGTGGGACCCTGCCTTTCCTGGACACTCCTGAAGGGATCTGTGGGCTCCTTATCTCAGAAGCCCTCAGCTGGTCTCCTGGGTGTGTCTGTCCCTTCAGCTAAGCCTCAGGCCATGACTTGCAGAAAGTAACGCAGATGATATCAGCCCAATCCAAAGCTCCCAGGACGGAGCTCCTGAAAAGTCCCCTGTACATTCCTGAGCACTTAGCCTGGCCCTGGCGCTAGGGTCTTGGATTCCAGGCCTCTTTGTTACTTCCCCTCCTGAATCTTTTCCAAGCTCACCTTTCTGTCATGTCTGCCTTTCTCAGTCCCTAGATCTCTAGGCCCAGAGAAGCTCTGAAAGGAGGTAGGAACTGACAGGCTGTGTTTACCCTGGGGCTTCAGTAAAGCCCCTTGACCCCTCTGGTGCTTGCCCACTAACAAGGCCCAGCTTTCCTAGTCCTTGAATTGTCTGGCCATTTTTGTTTTTTGTTTTTTTTTTTTTTCCCAGCCTCCTCCCAGGCAGCCAGTTCCTGTAGGGCCATCTGCTGGCGTCCTGTCATATCTCACATAGGCTTCCAAAAGCCCTTCCTCTTCCTCCTCTGGGGCCAGCACATGGCCCCAGTCTTAAATGAGACAGACTGTCCTCAGCCCAGGACCTGGCTGTCACTACAGGGACCCCACACACTGGCTCAGTAGCCTTCTACAACCTGGCGTTGGTCTGGGTGCCAGCCATGAACAATCACAGAGGCTGGGCTTCTGCCAGCCGCACAGTGGGTAGAGTAGCGCTCCCTTGACTTTGTATAGGAGGGCTGTGCTCATTGGCTGAGGGTGTCAGTGGTTATTACTGACACCACCCAAATAAATGCCTGTGGCAGGAAACAGAGGTCCTAGAGATGAACTTTAGTCTTTCTGTTGTAAATCGTATTTATGTAAAATAATTTAAACTGGGACCAAGCTTGGAGGTAGTGACCCATGCATTTAATCCTGGCACTCAGGAGACAGGCAGGCGAATCTCTGAGTCTGAGGCTAGCCTAGTCTGCAGAATAAGTTCTAAGACATCAGGGGCTACAAGGAGAAACCCTGTTGTTGTTTTTTAAGGAGGTAGGAGGGAATGGGGTTCTTCAGTAGCAGAGTGCTTACCCAGTGGTCACAAGGCCCTGGGTTTGCTTTCTGGCATTATTAAAAGGAGTTGGGAATGAGGGCTGACTGGAAAAGGGCGGCAGCTGGGAAGAGGAAGGTGTGGGGTGGCAGGGGCCTGAAACAGCAGCCTCTGTGGGAACTGAGTGGAATACATGAGGGGTGATTGTCCTCAAGACCTGTCCACCTCTGGATTTCCCCAAACAGTTCTCCTGGCTTTGAATATTTGGATTGACTTGACATTTTATAGAAAAACAAGTTCCAAAGCAGAATCCATTTCATGGTCCTGGATCCTGGGGTTCTTGGATACCTGGAACTCAGGGGCATTCAGAAGGTCCTGGCCATCAAGAGTGCATGTTTTTGAGTAGGGGTTTTGTCCCTGGAGGTACATTCTGTTCCAGGCCTCAGAACTGGGCTGGTCAGGGCCAGAAGTGCTGACTCACGATGCCTGCAGCTCAACAGAAAGAGAGGGCTCAGCTGCCACCTGCTGGTCACAGCTGAACCTGCTGTTCTTCTGAGGGCACTAGACAGGACTTGCTGAAAGCTGAACCCACGAGACCCAGGCACAACCCTGTGCCCCAATTCTGGATCCAGCTAGTACCCCACCTGTGTTCTCTGAAATGTGGGATGGATTTGGACAGGGTGGAAGTGCCAGGGACTTCTGAAGGGCTTCCCAGCCAGGGACAAGGACGGGCAATAAGAATCTGTCCTGAGCCAGGCAGTGGTGGTGCACGCCTTTAATCCCAGCACTTGGGAGGCAGAGGCAGGTGGATTTCTGAGTTTGAGGCCAGCCTGGTCTACAGAGTGAGTTCCAGGACAGCCAGGACTACACAGAGAAACCCTGTCTCGAA